GAATGAACAAGGAACCTGAAAACAAAGTCCCAAAACCCTTACAATGCACCCTGAAAATGGCCGATTTTGGTTTTGAAAAACGCTCCCCACTATTTGATTTTACGGAGGCCAAGTGTCCGGTGGAAAAAAACGTGTCGACATTTCAGCACGAATGTGCAAGTGCCCTTTTTGTTGATGCCCCCCCCCCCCCCCCCCCCAGTTTGAAAACCGTTCTGCCGCCGCTGGGCCCCTCATCTTTCGATGACGGCTCATCCTGCGAGCGCGCATTTCTTATCACCAAATTATTTTCTTCAAAACAAAACTGCCCTAGGCCATAAAGGTATTTAAGTCGTAATCCCGCATTGCCATATACGGTGACGCGCACGATCGTCGGAAACCACATACCCCTCCTTCAGATCACAATTTCTGAGAATCTTGATTTTATATAATGTTATGAAGCTATTTGAACCGGCCCACGTTTTTGTCCTTTTGTTAATTTGAGGAAAGTTTGAACATGTTAAATACTTTTGTCATCAGTAGTCTATGAGGATATCAATACTATTTTTTCAAGTACGTACATGTACCCGAGAAGTAATAGTAAAGGTCATATTTATGTAGCTCTATAAGCAATTCCTGGTGAATTAAAATACATCACTTCCCCATTGGAAGTCCATTTGTATTTACACTGTAAACGCGAGATCTTCGTAAATTGGTATATAACGATCAGTAACGACCAAACTGCAACAGAGTGACATGAACCATTGTCTTGTGATGTGCCGTATCCGACGGTCGTTTGCCACAGTATTTCATTGAGACGACTTTCATCACATATCTCGCCGATGTAAGAAGAATCTGCAACTCGTAGCAAGTACACGTAAGTTAAAGTGGCATACCGCGTGCTCTTAAAAAAACTTGATTGTTTTCTTCTCAAAACCCTCTAAAACGTTAAACTACTATAGGCCTAGGACATAAATATATTTGGCAAATGTTGATAAATGTTGATAACTTCTTCGCCCATCGTTGTTTAAGATCAATTGCCAAAACTCTCGGGAAATTATTCTCAAATAGTGAATTTTTTTACTCGATTAAAACAGGCTCTCACACTTGTTGGATAGAATACATTGCAAAACAGTTCTTTTCAGCGTGTATATTTGCTCAAGAACGAAACCGAGGCTTATCCATAGGACGAGCTTCGAGAAAATCATTTTGACTTTGTAATCGGACGAAACTGTAATGTAAAAGTTTTGTTCGTCTTCGAAATGAAACTAATCCTTTTTTCTTGGCTCAAAGTTGTTCTGTTCGATATTTAACACGTCCAGCTTAATGTAACAAGTTAACTCAGTCAATGCTAACCACTTTCTGAAGAAAGTTGAGCTCAGTTGCAGACAGGTTTTGCATTGTGATTCGGAGAAAGAATGAAGGTTTGATAAAACTAATAAATGTCCGTTTTGTATACGCCTGTTTTGCAGGTAGGTCAAAATGGCGCAAGATCTTTCTGCGCAATCACTGTTGGAGAAGATAAGCGTAGATCATCTGGAATGCTCCATCTGCATCAACCGTTTCAACCAGCCCAAAGTGCTGGACTGTTTGCACAGTTTTTGCCTCGAATGCCTTCAAAAGTTGAGCCAGGGTAAAGAAACTGTCGATTCCAAATTGAAATGCCCCCTGTGTCGACGAGAAACTACGACGCAACATGTCGGTGATTTGCCTGATAACTTCACACTTAGTGCACTGGTGGAAGAAGTGACGATGCAGGAAAAACTACTTGAAGGTCAAGTTTCAGAGATCGAATGTCAGTCCTGTAACGAGGGGAATCCCGCAGCGTCCAGATGCATGGACTGCGACCATTTCCTCTGTCAAGAATGTCAAAGGGCACACGGGCGATTGGCAATGCTGACATCTCACCAAGTATACGATCTTGCGCAGCTAAGATCAGGAGAGATTGCTTATAGGAGCAAGCTGAGAGAGGCTCCAAAATGCGGTAAACACCGTGACCAGGATCTCAGCTTTTACTGCAATTCGTGTGAGCAGTTGGTCTGCACAACGTGCTGCATTCTAGACCACACCAAACCGGAACACTCGCTCACAAGCCTACCCGAGGCTTTAGAGAGATGCAAACAGGAGGTTGCTGAAGTCACCGTGATAGCTGAACAGCACAAAGCAGATTTTGGCATCGTCATGGAAGAAATCAACGTCTCCAACAAGAAACTGGAAGCAAACTTTGACGACGTCAGGAAGAAAATCTCCGTGAAGGCAAATGACGAGGTTGCCAAGATCAGACAGGAGGAGCACACACTGAAGCAAGAGTTAGAAAAGATCTACCAAGACAGAGTCAAGACATTTGGAACTGCCCAGGCCACAAACAACACAGAGATGAGCGAGACAGAGCGGAAACTGGATGAAGTCAACCGATTGATGGCTCAAGCAAGTTGCTTTGAGATTGTCGATCTCAAGCAGAAACTTTTGCGAAACCTCAAAGAAGAAACCGAGAGATTTCCGAGGAAAGTGCCCAGCAGTTTGTCATTCGTGGAGTTTGATGAGGAAGGTCAGAGTGCAGTAGGTGAATTGGTGTTTGAGACTGGACCGAAGTCAGGATCGGCGGCTGGACTGGAAGCAGCATCAACGGAGCAAACTCCACCTGCAAGACCACTCAGGCAAAAAGACATCGGCGGAAAATGGTACCTGAAGATACAAATAACCCAATTCGGTCAGAAACAGACCAAATTTCGGCGCGTGTTTGGTGTTGCAGTATTCTCTAACGGTGAAATACTCGCGACGGACATGGGGCACAAAATGCTGATCTCTTACGCACCCAGCAGTGGCAAACTCCAAGCACACGCAAGACCCCAAAGATTACAAATCAACGGTTTAGACAATCCCAGTTGTGTGGCGGTCAACAACGATGACCATCTTGTCCTTCTCGACAAGCTCGCAGTCAAGATCTTCGACCGGAAGCATCAACCTCTCCACCAGTTCAAACCCGGCGAAGGTCCCAACAGTACACCGACCTGCCTAGCGGTGGATGACAACAATCTGATAGCAGTCGGCTACGAGAAAGCTGAAGAGATCTCCCTACACGAGCCAGACGGAACTCTCATTCGGACCCTCCCTGCAGCAATGATCGGTTCTCATCTGACCATCAGTAAGCAGCAGCGGCTTATCTACACCTGCTGGGAGAAGAAGAAGCTGGTATCAACGGACTACGTCGGAGGCAAGGTGTTCTCGTCTGCCATACCCTGCGACATGCATGGGATATGGGGCCCTACCGGCGTGTGCTGCGACAACAGTGGCTACATCTTCGTTGCCGTACACGGATGGCTGTCTGGTGGAATTTACAAGTTCAGTTCCGAAGGTGGGATCTTGGGATGCGTCATTTCAGAATGCAAGTTTCCCGCCAGCATCACATCTTTGCCGGGCACTGGCGATCTGGTGGTGGCCTCAAATACATCTGTTCAAATCTTCCACGAAATTCAAACCAACACTGAACACTTTAACTGAGTAACAACTGGTTTGTAGAGAACAACTTTGTGAAAGCTGTGGTGTCACTTGGAGGACCAGCAGAGGACAAAGAATACATGCCAAAGCAACAGAATCAAAATAGTAGAATCTTTGTCGCATAAAACATTTTTGACAGAGAGAGAAAAGGCCAGCATTCCGTTTAAAAATCAGACAAAAATCAGAGAAAACGGTAACGTCAGACCATGCATCGACATCGTGCATGGCCTGCCAGGTTGGTCATTAGCCTGCTCCCTTTCATATTGCGCTAATTAAAAAAGCGTTTACAGGTTCCAGATACACGACCATCGCTCTCATCAGCCTGGCTTCCAGACACACAATTACAAAATTAGTACACATCGTCTGCAAATGGTGCCCCACTAAATTTCAGGCTCTACTGGACTTTCAGGGTAAACTTTCAGGGTGAACTTGCAGGCTCTACTGAACATACAATGACTTTATCCTGCATGACTTCCCCCTCTGGTGTCACCTGCTATAAATAGAAATGGGAATTTACCGACACGCTGCAACAACACGTGGGGGTGTCCTGATGTGAGAATTGTCTGTTGTTGAGTCATAGTCATTTCTCAGACGCATATGCAATATGAACAGACGTACTGGAAATTTATCTGTAGGTAAGTGTGACATTCTCCTCGTTATTAATGAATGTGTGTTGATCCCCAAAAACGAAGAGTTTGGAGAATTTTGTTTGGGTGTTTGGGTAGATAGCTTTAACGTTAATTGAAGAAAGAATATTAGCGGTTTCGGCAACTTCAATGTCGAAACCGCTCTTGTTTTCGTTGAAGTTCCTCCCCCTTTTTTTCCAGACCTCTCTCCAATCTCCATAGGTATTACATACGTTTTTCTTCTACCCATACACTTTGGCACTTTAGTAAATCGGCTTGACTTCAGACTTGGTACCCACTTAGACCACCACTTCGTCACATTAAAGGTGCATTTTGTCCATATAGGATTTGTACGTGTTTGTCTAAAACCAGTATACCTTGGCACTTTTCATTAATCGGATTCACTTAAGACTTGATACTTGGTAGAAACATGGCCCATCAACCGCTGATGGTATCCGAGATTTCGTCATCATGACGTCATCAGGTGTCAATTAAGTAAATCATTAAACGTGCATTTTTCAAAGCCTTATAATTTTTGAAGCACAAGCCCGATTTGGTTGAAACGTGGAAGGTAGGTACATGGACAGGGACGTGTTATAGATGAAAATTGAAGTGACCTTTTGATGACGTCATCCCAAGTCATGTGACGTCACATTAAATGGGCATTTTTCTAAGGTTCTCTAAGGGATGCCTGATTTGGTTGTAACTTCATGTTAACCTGCACCTGGATGTCTTGAAAATTCAAGTGGCGTCATGGCATGTCGTCATCAGATGTCATGTGACGTCACATTAAAGGGGCAAGTCACAGAGTCTTTTCAAACAGGCGAAGTTTACAGCTTGTGTTTGTAGCTTTAATTTCTTTAATTTTCAAAGGTCCGAGTCTGCGGCAGCTGGAACATTATGGCGTCGAATCTGTCTGCGATGACGGCCAAGTCAGTGTTAGCTAAGATCAGCGAAGGGCACCTGGAATGCAGCATCTGCTCCACTCGATTCACTGAACCCAAAATGCTGGAGTGTCTTCACAGTTTCTGCCTGGAATGCCTCGTTGAGCTCAAGGAGAGATTGGATCCGTACAGTTCCAGGCTTAAGTGTCCTGTGTGCAGGCGGGACACAAAACTGAAAGGTAATAACGTGGAAGAGTTGCCCAGCAACTTTAGATTGAGATCCCTGGTGGAGGAGGTTGCAAAGCAGGAAGAGCTACTGGAAGGTCAAGGGTCACCCTCACCGTCACCACCACCATCACCACCACTGGCATTAGCACAAGAGATCGAATCATCACCCTCAGCTGAGGTCGAATCATCACCCTCAGCTGAGGTTGAATCATCACCCTCAGCAGAGGTCGAATGCCCGAAAGAGGAGTGGTGGTTGCATAAAGAAATAGGAAGTTGTATTCCCGAACAGCATGAAATAAAAAACTTTAATAAAATCTTTCATGTTGCATCTTTCTCTGACAACGAGATCGCTGCGTTGCAGTATGGAAAGAGTGAACTGATAAGTATAAGAACCACAAGAAAACTAAAATACAACGGGAGCATCTCTCATCAGCACGAGATCGCAGCGACGCCAAGACTGCTGGCGGTGAACAAGGATAATGAACTGATTGTTCTCAATCATTCGGATTATAAGTCTGAAGTCAACTTCTTCAATAGGAGTTACAGTGAGCTCCCACGTAAATTCAACCTCAACTTGGAGAAAGACGCCCCACCAACATGCCTGGCTGTGAATGAAGACAATCAGATAGCGATTGGAAGGAAGATCCGTCAAAATATATCACTTTACACTCGAAATGGATCCTTAATCGACACACTGTCCAACCAAAGGGTCGGTGAACACATGACCAGCTACAAGCAACGCTGGATCTACACCAATCGTGTGCAAAGAAAGTTACGGTCGATAGATACCAACGGCGATGAGATATTCGCGGTAGATATGCCCAGATGTATTCCTACTTTCTTGGGCCCTGAAGGGGTGTGCTGTGACAAAGACGGTGACATTTATGTTGCCCTGAGTTATGCATGGTCACCATCATGGGGTGGCAAGATTCACCGATTCAGTGCTGATGGCGAGCACATTGGGTGCGTGATCAAGGGATGCGGCTCGCCGCGAGGTATCACGCTCACACCAGACGGCGATTTGGTAGTGGCTGCGATGGAGTCCGTCAAAATTTACCACCCTGTGTAAATAGCCAAGTAGCTGCTTGGCTTAAACTTGGAATCTGTGAAAATTGACAAGTAGAAATAGCTGAACATCAGTTATAAAGTCACAAAACGGCAGATGTACTTATGAAGCGGAGTCACGTTTATTTTACCAGCACACTTGTTTTTACGACTTAGCACACTGCAGCCAGTCCTTCGGCCTCAAGCCGTTACGACGGTATAGAGGGCTCCACTTGACGTGGCCCGAGCTGCAGAGGAACAAAATCTTGTCTTGTATAAAGCCTAGTTTAGTTTGTGTCCAACTTCAATCTTAAACCTGCTGTTTTATGACTCGTCCTAGGGGGCTTCAATATTGCGGACTGTCGGCAAGAACAAAAGCCCACTTATTACGGAGGCTGAGCAATTTAGTGTAATGTATTATTATGTAGTCATTCTAGTTGATCAATGCATGAATGTGTCTTCTTAATTATATTGTAAAGATGGCAAAGTATAGTAAGGTTTTGTCGGAAAATATTAACATCAATACGAAAAAAATATGCAGTTAATATGGTCAACAATAAAAAGGAGAGGGATCATTATGGGTTTATTACCCTGTACATATCCTGGTGTATAAAATACACGTTATAACCGAGCTATGGGATCGATGTGCCTGTGTAATTGATAAGCAGGGCTCTTAACCAGGAGCAAAAAAAACCCAAAAAACAAACATCTAACGTATTAGCACAAGTTAAACGGGGTGTCACGGGTTAAATTGTGCTGTGATGTGGATCACGTTTAAAATGGTCTAAATGCTGTGAGACGCGGATGCTCGCTATAGGAAAAAGCTGGGTATTCCTCTACTGCCAGTTAACGTGGCAATTATCGCGACTTTTTGTATTGTTCTTGTACAGAGTGTTGCTTTTTGTTTTTAGATTCATATACACAATAAATATATATATATATATATATTTTCAATTGCTATAATTCCATCAATGTTATCAATTGCTATAATTCCATCCACTATTAAAATGGCTTATTTGTTATGGAATAACTACTTTGTGAATCCCCAATAATTGTTTTACTCGACGATTCAGTGTTTCGGATAGAATGCTTCCCTACATACCCCCTTCCAGAATCGGTAATGATGGGATAGGGGACCAGCCCCGTCGCCAGCTCCGAACATAAGGGGGCCATGTAGTACCAACTAGGAGGCACACTACATTAAAACATATATAAATACACATGTATAGTGTTTGCCGATGGGAGGACCAATGGCACACAAGGCCCCCCCCCCCCCCCGGGCGACTGGCCTGTATTCTACCCCCAAGGAGGATCTGTTTGTGCGGAAAACCACCCAAATAAAAAGCTTGTTTTTCTTATCTCATAAGATTGCAGAGTTCCACATTTCTTTTCGTTACAAAATAAAATTTGAAATTATAATTCATTCATAAATTTGAAGTTCGTAGAGAGAAATAAAATCGAGTTTGCTTAAAGCACAGACAGTACATCTTTGAGATATGACAATGGTGCAGATCTATAAATACAATAACATGTATGCAGTGAAGGACATTTAACTCATCAATATGATCTGATTTATATCAGAGGACAGTTTGAACATCAATAATTTTGTCATCAGTGCCATGAGGCCTAATATATATATAGCACTTTCCCATACGTCAAAGCTCCAGGAAACACAGCAGTCACGTAATTAGTGTTTTTGCAGTGTGGTGTTTTCGTATTACTTGACTCGCGCCTTACCGTGTGAACTAGCTTTGGGCGGTCGTCTAGTTTATAACTTTGTACCGCAAACAAGTGGTCAGTATTTTTAAGATTGGATCTTAAAGGTGCCATCATTACAAGAATTGGGCCCCTCATCTTTCGATGACGGCTCATCCTGCGAGCGCGCATTTCTTATCACCAAATTATTTTGGTGACAAACAAAACCAAACTGCCCTAGGCCATATAGGTATTTAAGTCGTAATCCTGCATTGCCATATACGGTGACGCGCACAATCGTCGGAAAACCCCATACCCCCTCCTTCAGATCACAATTTCTGAGAATCTTGATTTTATATATCAATACTATTTTTTCAAGTACGTACATGTACCCAAGAAGTAATAAAATAGTAAAGGCCATATTTATGTAGCTATATAATCACTTCCTGGTGAATTAAAATACATCACTTCCCCATTGGAAGTCCATTTGTATTTACACTGTAAACGCGAGATCTTCGTAAATTGGTATATAACGATCAGTAACAACCAAACTTCAACAGAGTGACGTGAACCATTGTCTTGTGATGTGCCATCCTAGTACCATTATCTGCTGATGTGCTATGCTACGGATGTTTGCCACGGTATTTCATTGAGACGACTTTTATCACATATCTCGTCGATGTAAAAAGAATCTGCAACTCGTAGCAAGTACACGTAAGTTAAAGTGGCATACCGCATGCTCTTAAAAAAACTTGACTGTTTTCTTCTCACAGATTTTAAATTAATTGTGTTTGTTTTATTTTGACAAAGCACTATTCTATGGCGATTTTGGGCTTCTGAAGCCCGGTAAAACATTAAACTACTATAGGCCCTCGACATAAATATATTTGGCAAATGTTGATAACTTCTCGCCCAACGTTGTTTAAGATCAATTGCCAAAACTCTCGGGAAATTATTCTCAAATAGTGATTTTTTTTACTCGATTAAAACAGGCTCTCACACTTGTTGGATAGAATGCATTGCAAAACAGTTCTTTTCAGAGTGTATATTTGCTCAAAAAAGAAACCAAGGCTTATCCATAGGACGAGCTTCGCGAAAATCATCTTGACTTAGTAATCGGACGAAACTGTAATGTAAAAGTTTTGTTCGTCTTCGAAATGAAACTAATCCTTTTTTTCTTGGTTCAAAGTAATGTTCTGTTCGATATTCAACACGTCCAGCTTAATGTAACAAGTTAACTCAGTCATTGCTAACCACTTTCTGAAGAAAGTTGAGCTCAGTTGCAGACAGGTTTTGCATTGTGATTCGGAGAAAGAATGAAGGCTTGATAAAACTAATACATTTCCGTTTTGTATACGCCTGTTTTGCAGGTAGGTCAAAATGGCGCAAGATCTTTCCGCGCAATCACTGTTGGAGAAGATAAGTGTGGATCATCTGGAATGCTCCATCTGCACCAACCGTTTCAACCAGCCCAAAGTGCTGGACTGTTTGCACAGTTTTTGCCTCGAATGCCTTCAAAAGTTGAGCCAGGGTAAAGAAGCTGTCGATTCCAAGTTGAAATGCCCCCTGTGTCGACGCGAAACTACGACGCAACATGTCGGTGATTTGCCTGATAACTTCACACTTAGTGCACTGGTGGAAGAAGTGACGATGCAGGAAAAACTACTTGAAGGTCAAGGTTCAGAGATCAAATGTCAGTCCTGTAACGAGGGGAATCCCGCAGCGTCCAGATGCATGGACTGCGACCATTTCCTCTGTCAAGAATGTCAAAGTGCACACGGGCGATTGGCCATGCTGACATCTCACCAAGTATACGATCTTGCACAGCTACGATCAGGAGAGATTGCTTACAAGAGCAAGCTGAGAGAGGCTCCAAAATGCGGTAAACACCGTGACCAGAATCTCAGCTTTTACTGCAATTCATGTGAGCAGTTGGTCTGCACAACGTGCTGCATTCTAGACCACACCAAACCAGAACACTCGCTCACAAGCCTACCTGAGGCTTTAGAGAGATGCAAGCAGGAGGTTGCCGAAGTCACCGTGATAGCTGAACAGCACAAAGCAGATTTTGGCATCGTCATGGAAGAAATCGACGTCTCCAACAAGAAACTGGAAGCAAACTTTGACGACGTCAGAAAGAAAATCTCCGTGAAGGCAGATGACGAGGTTGCCAAGATCAGACAGGAGGAGCACACACTGAAGCAAGAGTTAGAAAAGATCTACCAAAATAGAGTCAAGACATTTGGAACTGCCCAGGCCACAAACAACACAGAGATGAGCGAGACAGAGCGGAAACTGGATGAAGTCAACCGATTGATGGCTCAAGCAAGTTGCTTTGAGATTGTCGATCTCAAGCAGAAACTTTTGCGAAACCTTAAAGAACAAACCGAGAGATTTCCGAGGAAAGTGCCCAACAGTTTGTCATTCGTGGAGTTTGATGAGGAAGGTCAGAGTGCAGTAGGTGAATTGGTGTTTGAGACTGGACCGAAGTCCGGATCGGCGGCTGGACTGAAAGCAGCATCAACGGAGCAAACCCCACCTGCAAGACCACTCAGGAAAAAAGACATCGGCGGAAAATGGGGCCTGAAGATACGAATAACCCAATTCAGTCAGAAACAGACCAAATTTCGGCGCGTGTTTGGTGTTGCAGTATTCTCTAACGGTGAAATACTCGCGACGGACATGGGGCACAAAATGCTGATCTCTTACGCACCCAGCAGTGGCAAACTCCAAGCACACGCAAGACCCCTAAGATTACAAATCAAAGGTTTAGACAATCCCAGTTGTGTGGCGGTCAACAACGATGACCATCTTGTCCTTCTCGACAAGCTTGCAGTCAAGATCTTTGACCGGAAGCATCAACCTCTCCACCAGTTCAAACCCGGCGAAGGTCCCAACAGTACACCGACCTGCCTAGCGGTGGATGACAACAATCTGATAGCAGTTGGCTATGAGAAAGCTGAAGAGATCTCCCTACACGAGCCAGACGGAACTCTTATTCGGACCCTCCCTGCAGCAATGATCGGTTCTCATCTGACCATCAGTAAGCAGCAGCGGCTTATCTACACCTGCTGGGAGAAGAAGAAGCTGGTATCAACGGACTACGTCGGAGGCAAGGTGTTCTCGTCTGCCATACCCTGCGACATGCACGGGATATGGGGCCCTACCGGCGTGTGCTGCGACAACAGTGGTCACATCTTCGTTGCCATACACGGATGGCTGTCTGGTGGAATTTACAAGTTCAGTTCCGAAGGTGGGATCTTGGGATGCGTTATTTCAGAATGCAAGTTTCCCGCCAGCATCACATCTTTGCCGGGCACTGGCGATCTGGTGGTGGCCTCAAACACATCTGTTCAAATCTTCCACGAAATTCAAACCAACACTGAACACAGTGACTGAGTAACAACTGGTATATAGAGAACAATTGGTACTTAGTATAGCAAAAGCTGTGGTGTAACTTGGAGGACCAGCAGAGGACAGATTGTACACAAGCCAGAGTAACAGAATCAATATCTGAGAATCTTTGTCTTCCTAAAGCTTACGTCCCGCATAAACATTTTGACCGAGAAAAAAACCCCAGCATTTCGTTTACAATATGACTTTGAACTCTTGCCCATGAGATAGCGGTAGCGGACAAATAGTGTTGATAATTACACCCTGAGATACGTGCAACCTCAATTGCACATACCGTATTGTCGCTCTGCTCAAATTATATCCGTAGTTGCAATACAACATGCATGTGCTATAATGTGCTATATATAATGCATATTATCCAATTAAATTCATGTTTATACCAGTTTATTCTCAACTCAGCATTAAAGCTAATCAAACATGACACTAACTTATTGGTAGTAAGCGATGGAAATTAAAACTAAGGAACGAAGGGGACCCTCACTAAGCTTGACTCGTCCTGTTTAGGACTTTTTTAGTACAAGAATTGAAAACATATATCCAGTACTCTGACGCAGCGAACTGTAAAGATGAAGCAAAGCCAAAAGGCACATCATAGTGCAAGATATCAAATGTTTAACGAAGTGTAGGCGAACTGCAAATGATATATCCATTCTTACCAAAAACAAAAAAGAATTAGCACTCGGAAGAAGCACATGCAGTATGGAGCTTCATAGGGAAGTCTCTTCTTCACAAAATGCCTATATCAACTTTCGTTTCTGCTAATAATGTTTTTATTTCCTTAACTGTTTAAGTTTGGATTTTAAGTACTATGGTGTTTCTATGCTCGCGACTCTCATATTAGGGCGCCAGTATCGTTATGCCGGGCTTGATATCCTTCTAGTTAATATATAAAGTGATCCCTCAATGTGTTACCCAAGGATTACTAATAGAGAGATTATAAATTTAAATACTGTTCCAGATTAAAATGCGTAGAAAATGCGTTTGATTATCTAATCTGCGTACAAAATGTGTTTACTTTAAAAACTTCGGTGTTAGTTTAACACCATGTGGTAGTTATAAATACAACACCAATAAAATACCAGATGGTCAAATACAGATAGCATGGTGCTAAATTTAACACCGCTGTTGTATTCTTCAGATTTTATTTTATCTGCAATCTAGAATCATAACATTTGACAATTTAGGGAGCACTAGTCTTTTCTCAGCACATATTTATTATCTGGGTGATTTATCTCCCGAAGCCAACTGCAGATGAAGCCGAGGTTTCATAGACCTGTAATAAGTCTCTTTCTCGCTCAGTGGGGAAACGGAGTAGGGTTACAGATACACAAAATCGGGACAAATACCATTATTATTTATTCATATACAAATGCCGCTATAACGAACACCACTGTAACGAACATTTGGTTATAACGAACGTCCCCACGGGCTCCCGAAATAGTGAATTCTTTTATAATGCACAATCACTATAACGAACAACCACTATAGCGAACACTTTCTGTAGACCCCATCGTGTTCGTTATAGCGGCGTTTCACTGTAATGATGACGCATTTTGAATTGTGGTGCAGTTTGGATTGATGGTATAATGTATGTATACGGTGTAAGGTACATATTTTGCCCGGCGTGTTATTTCCTCTTTGCACTTTAAAAAAATTTCATTAATGGCTTTGTATAACAGACATAGCGCGTTGACACCATGGCGTGAAGGAAAAACCCAACGAAAGGTTAAGTAGGTCTACGTGAGTGACAGGTCAATAATGGGAAAATCTATGTAGTGGTTAGTCAATAAATTTAGGTCATAAGTACGACATTTTGCATGAACTTGTTTCCTTATACATGTACTTTGTTATTTGCAATTTGGGAAACAAAATGTATCTATAGGAGAGCCCCACGTAGACCGATATGGGCTGAACTTGGCCTCCCCGAAGAAATATTTAAGGGGTGCCCAGTTCGAGCCTCATCAAATCATATCAATAAAGCCTACCAACTTGAATAGGAAAATAGCCTTTGCCAGCGAAACCTGCTTTTTCTGGTCACTGCTCTATGTTCCGACACCCCTATGTTCTGACAACCCGCACATAAGACTGTGTACTCCCGTGTAGGGTTAGGGTTAGGAACAGGAACATGTACAGTCGGAACATAGGGGTGTCGGAACATAGGGGTGTCGGAACATAGAGGTGTAACCGCTTTCTCTCCCCCCCCCCGCCCCTGCGTCCCCGAACACAGCCTGTTAAACCCACACAAGAAAAACAGGTGTCATTCAAAATAATGCTCCATGCAATCAACAACAATGCAAGCTTCCCTTGTCCCAAGAAAGAAAAATATCATCCTGAAATTGGTAGGACGCAGACCCCTAAATCAATCACCTCAACCTTGCAACAGACATGGGCATTTGAATATTGCACAATAACACAGTAAGATATTTTATATGGTCGACATGATCGTAATTAGTTGGGGTCCACAAATGGACCTCAACATGCCTGAAATGTTTGCGGTTTGGATTTCCTGAAAATCATTTCAATAAAATGCTCTTGTAGTAACCTTCATCTATTTTGATCAGCACCAAACTTTACAGATTTAAGCCACTTTCCGTAAGACATAATAATAAAATACTAGGTGTTTTTATTTTTGCGACTCATGAACGATCCAAAAATCAACCAGACGAACAACCTTTTAAAGATAAATTGTATTTATTTTTACGGGACAATGTAAACAAAGTATAGGGATAAGATGCATCACGAAATAAGCGGGGTTTTTTGCACTTGCCCACGGTCTAAAGTCTATATTTTGTTTACATGTAAACGCGAGATCTTTAGAAACTAGTACATTAACTACCAGTAACAACCAAACTGCAGCAATGCGGCGTGAACCACCGGCTTGTGACGCACCATCCTCGTATGTTTGTCACAGTATTTCAGTGAGACGAATGTCATCACGTATCTCACCGATGCAACAAGAATCTGCCACTAGAAGCAAGAATATGTAAGTTCAATAAAGATGCATTCCCATCATGCTCTTAAAAAAAAATCGGATTTTGTTCTTCCAAATCATTTTCAATTTGTATGTTTTATTTCAACGAAAACAGTACTCTTTTCCGATTTCGGGCGTCTGCAAAACTGTGAGAAAAAAGGTTTTCACTGTGTAACGAGTGAGTTACGAAATTATGAACTACTTCATGTGGGTAAGAGTACGACAATAATATACGCTACTTTAGTACACGCCATAAATAGTTCGGCAATTGTTGCCGAACTTCTTGAACAGCGTGGGTTTAAGATAACTGCCAACTCTTGCGGGAAAAGTTTCCCAACTGGTTGATCAATTTTACTCGATCTAATAACCCCCCCAAACGCTACCACTTGTTGGCAAGAAGTCATTGCCAAACGTTCTTTTTAGAGGGTATAATCAGAAAGGGGAAAATGAGCTTCGCGAAAATCATGTCTCAGGATCCCTCTTGACCTTGGGAACCAGACGAAGATAGCTAAACCTGAATTCTGTTCGTCTTCAAAACGTTCGTTTTAGATTTTCAAAAACACATCCGGCTATAAACGTAACGACGTTTGCTAAAATGTAACAATTTAACGCAAGTAAGTTGCCGACATATGCATTTTTTTTATTGTCATTCGGAGGAATTAAAAAAAAACTAATAAACGCCAATGTTGTATACTACTGTTTTACAGGTCGGTCAAAAAGGCGAAAGGGCTTTCCGCGCAATCACTGTTGGAGAAGATAAGTGTGGATCATGTGGAATGCTCCATCTGCACCAACCGTTTCAACCAGCCCAAAGTGCTGGACTGTTTGCACAGTTTTTGCCTCGAATGCCTTCAACAGTTGAGCCAGGGTAAAGAAGCTGTCGATTCCAAGTTGAAATGCCCCTTGTGTCGACGCGAAACTACGACGCAACATGTCGGTGATTTGCCTGATAACTTCACACTTAGTGCACTGGTGGAAGAAGTGACGATGCAGGAAAAACTACTTGAAGGTCAAGGTTCAGAGATCAAATGTCAGTCCTGTAACGAGGGGAATCCCGCAGCGTCCAGATGCATGGACTGCGACCATTTCCTCTGTCAAGAATGTCAAAGGGCACACGGGCGATTGGCAATGCTGACATCTCACCAAGTATACGATCTTGCGCAGCTAAGATCAGGAGAGATTGCTTACAGGAGCAAGCTGAGAGAGGCTCCAAAATGCGGTAAACACCGTGACCAGAATCTTAGCATTTACTGCAATTCATGTGAGCAGTTGGTCTGCACAACGTGCTGCATTCTAGACCACACCAAACCGGAACACTCGCTCATAAGCCTACCCGAGGCTTTAGAGAGATGCAAGCAGGAGGTTGCTGAAGTCACCGTGATAGCTGAACATCGCAAAGTAGATTTTCGCATTGCCATGGAAGAAATCGACGTCTCCAACAAGAAACTGGATGCAAACTTTGACGACGTCAGGAAGAAAATCTCCGTGAAAGCGGATGAGGAGGTTGCCAAGATTAGACAGGAGGAGCACAAACTGAAGCAAGAGTTAGAAAAGATCTACCAAGACAGAGTCAAGACATTTGGAACTTCCCAGGCCACAAACAACACAGAGATGAGCGAGACAGAGCGGAAGCTGGATGAAGTCAACCGATTGATGGCTCAAGCAAGTTGCTTTGAGATTGTCGATCTCAAGCAGAAACTTTTGCGAAACCTCAAAAAACAAACCCAGAGATTTCCGAGGAAAGTGCCCAGCAGTTTGTCATTCGTGGAGTTTGAGGAAGGTCAGAGTTCACTAGGTGAATTGGCGAAGTCAGGATCGGAGGCTGGACTGGAAGCAGCATCAACGGAGCAAACCCCACCTGTAAGACCACTCAGGAACAAAGACATCGGCGGAAAATGGTACCTGAAGATACAAATAACCCAATTCGGTCAGAAACAGACCAAATTTCGGCGCGTGTTTGGTGTTGCAGTATTCTCCAACGGTGAAATACTCGCGACGGACATGGGGCACAAAATGCTGATCTCTTACGCACCCGGCACCGGCAAGCCACAAGCACCTGCAAGACCCCAAGGATTACAAATCAAAAGTCTAGGCAATCCCAGTTGTGTGGCGGTCAACAAGGATGACCAGCTTGTCCTTCTCGACAAGCTTGCAGTCAAGATCTTCGACCGGAAGCATCAACCTCTCCACAAGTTCAAACCCGGCGAAGGTCCCAACATAACACCCACCTGCCTAGCGGTGGATGACAACAATCTGATAGCAGTCGGCTACGAGAAAACTGAAGAGATCTCCCTACACGAGCCAGACGGATCCCTCATCCGGACCCTCCCTGCACCAATGATCGGTTCTCATCTGACCATCAGTAAGCAGCGGCTTATCTTCACCTGCTGGGAGAAGAAGAAGCTGGCATCAATGGACTACGTCGGAGGCAAGGTGTTCTCGTCTGACATACCCTGCGACATGCATGGGATATGGGGCCCCACCGGCGTGTGCTGCGACAACAGTGGTCACATCTTCGTTGCCGTACACGGATGGCTGTCTGGTGGAATTTTTAAGTTCAGTTCCGAAGGTAGGATCTTGGGATGCGTTATTTCAGAATGCAAGTTTCCCGCCAGCATCACATCTATGCCGGGCACTGGCCATCTGGTGGTGGCCTCGAATACGTCTGTTCAAATCTTCCACGAAATTCAAACCAACACTGAACACTTTAACTGAGTAACAAATGGTTTGCAGAGAACAATTGGTATTTTGTGAAAGCTGTGATGGTGTCACTTGGAGAACCAGCAGAGGACAAAGAATACATGTTAAAGCAACAGAATCATAATAGGAGAACCTTTGTCGCATAACACATTTTTTGACCGAGAGAGAAAAAAGGCAGCCTTCCGTTTACAATATGACTTTGTACTCTTGCCCATGAGATAGCGGTAGCGGACATAATTGATAATTACACCTTGAGATACGTGCAACTATTATTGCACATACCATATTGTCGCTCTGCTCAAATTAGATCCGTGGTTGCAATACAGCATGTGTTATAATGTGCATGGCTACATGTATATGCTTACTGTCCAATTCAAGTTTAGTTTATACCACTTTAGTCTCAACTCAGCGTTAAAGCTAATCAAACATGGCGTCGGCTTATTGATAATGAGCGATGGAAATTGAATCCAAGGAATGAATGGAGACCCTCACTTTTACTAGCTTGACTCGTGCGAGACTGCTTGAGTAAAATATTAATAATACAAAAACATGACAGTACTTACCGGGCGGACGTTCGATAAGATTAAGCAAAGCCGAAAAAAGCACATCATGGTGCATGATATATATCATAAATGACTGTTTAACAAAATGTAGAGGAACTGCAAATGATAACATCCATTCCTACCTAAAAAAAAACCTTTAAAACTCGGAAGAAGCACAATCTAAAACATAAACAACTTCACGAGGAAGTTTCCTCTTCACGTGAATCTAAACATTTTAAGTCAACTTTTGTTTCTGCAAATAATGTATTTATTTCCTTCATTTACAGTGTTTAAGTGTGGATCTAAAGTGCTACATGTATATGGTATTTCTATACTCGTGACTTTCATATTGGGACGCTTTTGTGCCTTGCTAATCCTTCTAGTTAAATCAGAAAGTATATCAAATGATCCCTCAATGTGTTACCAAAGAATTATTGATTTATAGAGAGTTTATCAATTTAAACAAATAAAAACTGTGCACTGTTCGACTTAGAAAGGCGTATTTATATTTGCTATCTAGAATCATGACAGATGATAATGGAGGGAGCACTAGTCCTTTTTTTTCAGCACATAATGATATTACTGACTGATTTATTGATTGCATAAGTACACGAACCATTAAACGTGTCCTACGAATGACCACAGCAATGTACATTGTGTTGGCAGTACTTTAAAGGTGTAGTGTATGGATAGCTTGACTTATTCATTCACTGGCATTACGGGATAATTCTTTACGGTCACACTGCCCGACTCTCATCAACAGTCAACAACCATGCTGACTCAAATGCAGTGGCATATCTGCGGGGGGGGGGGGGGGGGGTGTGGCACTGGGAACGGGAGGGGGCACGTGACCCCAAGCAGATGTTCATGCTCCCCGGTTGCCCCCCCCCCCCCCCCCCCCCATTTAAAATCTTGAATGGGAACGAAAATAGTATCATCATTTCTTCTGTGCCACCCTTGAAAAATGTGTTCACTCCCAGGTGCCCCCAGAAGTTTAGCCCTAGTTACGCCACTGCTCAAGTGACAGCCAGTCAAATCGGTGAGTGAGATAGGCGCAAAGAGGACACTATATACAGGGTGGTCAAAACGGATTGGCATACTTTCGTTACCCTGAGACTCAAACCACATATACCAATGCATGCAAGGGCGGATCCAGGGGGGGGGGGGCCCAAAGGGGGCCATGCCCCCCCCCCCCAACGAAACCATTTTTTAATTTTTTTATGTGACATTGCAATAAAGGCAGGCAATGAGTACACCACCATCTTTTCCTGAAGAAAACATTGGTTAAAGTGGTCAGAAATTGCCTCAGATCGCACCACAGAGCATCTAGAATCCAAACATTTTTCGGGGCCCTTAAGCGGGCCCCGAACCCCACGCCATATTTTTTTGACCCACTTTTTGGGGGGACCAAATTTTTTTTTGGCCCCCCCCAAAAAATTGTGTTCTGGATCCGCCCTTGAATGCATGGAAAATCTTTTTAGAAAAAAAAAAAGGAAACCAAGATGGCCCGATTCACGCCTATTTTGTGAAGTAAGGTTGGGTTTTTGTCCCGATGAATTACTAAACCGCGGCCGGGAATAATGACTTACACAATATAAATTGATAGAGGGATTGTTATGCAATAATACCCACATGAAAGAAGTGCTTCACAAAATCGGCTCTGCAGCAAAAACTACTGGACCAAATCGGGATATTTTGGTATCATAATTCTTCTAAAAGTATTCTCCATCAATTGGTACAGGTGGTTTGAGTCTCAAGGGAGTGGAAGTATATGCCGTTCGGGTTTTTTTACACCACCCTGTATAGCCTGGGCTTCCGGGACCAGCAAAAACTGGAGCCAATGTTCAGTGACCTGCGCTGCCAGGTGTAAAAAACACTAGAGCTGAAGTAGCGTGGAGGCTTCAGGATTTACTAACAGCCCAAGCCGGTGGCTTCGCAGCTGACTTGCCACAATCTCCGGGCCAGCTCGTCATCTTGAGCGAGCGCTGAGGGCGCCATCAGCTGGCAGTTGTCAAAGTAGCTGCCAGAGAGCTGAGGTATCGAGTTATCCAGGGCGCAGTGAAGGGTCGTCTGGGCGCCTGCTTCCTCGTCTATCAGAAACAACCTGCACAACAGGAAATTGCAATAAAGCATAACAATAATATTAATACCCTCAAATTCTGACAGTTCATCTGGATGTTAATTTCTGGCGAAACATTATCTGATTTTAAAGCATTTATAGGCCTAGTGCTTGCTTAAAAATAAAACCTTGCTTCTTGGCTTTCGCCTTTCGGCTTTGATTCAGCATCCAAAAAGCAAATGTATTTGTTAAAGCAAGCATTATATGCTTTAAAATGAAACTTTACAAATATAAACTCGCTCATTTCATACATTTTCAAAGAAATTTGAAAAATAAACGGATTATATACCACATCAGCGGAAATAGCGGGTAATACAAGGTAGCAACAATCCCGGGTTGGGATTCAGCAGTCATGTGGTTTTTGACCATACACGAGTTTATGGCGCCAGGGTGGATCGAGGCAGAAACCACGCCGCTGGAAGCCTCACGTCTCGCCAGCTCCCTAGCGAAGAGTACGTTGGCCAGCTTGCTGGTGAAATAGGACTGAAGGTAGGGATACAAGACATCCACACCGGGGACCGAGCGAGTCAAGTTGGGCTCAGCGGAAAAATGGTGCATCGCAGAGGAGACGGTGACCACTCGGCTGGGGGCGCTCTTCTTCAGCAGGTCCAGGAGGAGATTGGTCAGCAGGAAGTGGCCGAAGTGGTTGATGCCGAAGACGTAGTGGAAGTTATCCTCGGTTGTGGAACCTTGAGGTGTCTGAATGAGAGCAACTCCTTGAAGGAGTAAATAAGTTGTACATAAGACGATATTTATTTTGAATATTAAAAACATTGAGTTTGGGTATAAAGGATATTGTCTTATTTTAACAAATGCATCTCAAGACTATACAGTGTGCCCCCCCCCCAACCCCAACTCCCCCCCCCAAAAAAAAAAAACAACCCAGAACGGCGTACTTCCGCTACCCTGAGACTTACACAACCTATACCAATGCATGGAACATTTTGTCAAACGAAAAATGATACCAAGATCGTCCAATTCGGTCAAGTAGTTTTTGTTCTAGAGCCTATTTTGTGAAACAAAGTCGGGAGTCCTTTTGTCCTGATGAATTACTAATAGAGCATTTCACTGTATATTTATATATTATGTGTGACAATAAATAAATGAATGAATGAATGAACGAATATTGCTCGTGCATTCGACTTTAATTTAATTGGATAGAGGGATTAATTGTTATGTGATAATACCCACATGAAAGATGTGTGCTTTAAAAATAGGCTCTGCAGCAAAAACTACTGGACCGAATCGGGAGATCTTGATAACTATCATTTTTCTTCTAAAAGAATTCTCCATCCATTGGTTCAGGTGGTTTGAGTCTCAAGGGAGTGGAAGTATGCCGTTCCTTTTGTTTGGGGGGGGGGCACCCTGTATATGGGCTTATACCTCTGGTAATAAAATTCTGGTAGTAACTAAGTTGTAAGTATTATTTTGTTACCTTGCTGTTGACCTTTTGGAGATATGGTGGACAAGCTATGAGGACGGTATTTAGAGTGGTTAAATTTGGTTAAACAGTGGTTAAACCCTTCCCAATAGCGCCCTGCTATTGTGCCCACCGTTTGATTACTCAAAAGGCTAATGAAAGTATTTAGAGCATTAACCTGCATTGTTAACCAAAATATCCAGTCTCTCCTCGCTTTCGATGATCTTGTTAGCGAACTCCCTGACGGACTGCAGGCTGGCTAGATCCAGGTGGCGCACCACGACCTCCGAGTTGCCCGTGCGCGTCTTGATCTCTTTGGCGGCGTCTTCACCCTTCTGGAGATTGCGACAGGCGAGGATGACCCGGGCACCTCGCTGGGCAAAGTCGAGAGCTGTCCACCAGCCAATGCCAGAGTTTGCTCCTAATTTTAAACAAACGGCAAAATCTGATGCCAGAGCGCAAAGATTTCTTTGTAATATTGAGCCGCTCAGTGGATGGCAAGTGCCGCCCACCAGCTAGTAGAAATACCGAAGTTGGCTCGTTACACACACCCCCAGTCAAAACATCCCAAATATTAAGAAGGGCTTAATAATATATTAGGTGTTGCCAATAAAACCACTTTAACTGGCTACATAAAAAAATATGACATTTAATCCTGGATATCATTAAATTAATGATGTCCAGGATGAACTCTCTTTTCCAATTTTGAATGACCCTGAAGACCCAAATGCATTTTGTTCAAAGTAACCATGATGAAATTAAACATTTTCCATCGAGAGTAGTGGATATAAAGTGCTCCCATCATCCCCGGCATCCCCAACCCAACTGGCAAAAACGCCATTGAAGACTGAACAAAGTGTTATCTTTTTCTGACCTGTTACTATGACAGTTTTGTTGGTGAGGTCAGCATCGCTGATGCAGTAGCATCGACTTCCTACGAACTGCCAGTAGTACACACCGCAAGCTACCAGGATGGGCAACAACCACGTAAACGAAACAGACGACATTGTCATTTATCATCCGCGTGCGCTGGCTGACCGCCAAGCTGTCTGAACTATTAGGATAAGAATGGAGTGCATTTAGTACTGCGAGATATGAACGACGATGTCATATTGTGTAGTGAACAAAAAAACATCGATTTTTCTCACGTCTTGTTTCGTCTGAGCTAGAACCGTACCCCACGGTGGAATATGTATGGGGCCCCACTCCCCCCGGATCCGTGCCTTGTACATACACGCGTTGTATACTGTCCACGGGCCCCCTTTTTGGAGCACGGAGCTTATAGCTTTTGGTTATTGCGCAGTGCCGTTGCGTCTTTCTACACATTACATGCGAGTCTAATTTTTAGGACAGTGGAATCATCGTGTTAGGCTAAGCCCCTATATGGCACAATGCTTGGCAACAATTGCAGAATACCCCGCCACTCAATCTATCAGCACAATTGCAGAATACCCCGCCACAAGGTCACGGTTGATTGCCCTCAATAAACCTTCTCAGCGCTACTTGCATGTACTATGCGCCATGCTCCACTGCACTCCCACTCCGTATCCGCGTAGCCGCCAACAGGGTAGATGGTTTGGACTTGAAAATATTTCAGCAACTCCCATTCATTTTGTGTTGCTTGTTCTCAAGCATATTCAAAGGGACTCCCACTCCGTATCCGCTTAGCCGCCAACAGGGTGGTATTTCGGTTGTGTAAAAGTCAGACGGTTGTGTATATATGAACCTAGCAAACTGTTGTGTAAACTGTTGTTTACACAACTTGTGTAAAATATTACACAACTTGTTCAGTTTTTTTTTACACAACTGGTTGCTAGGTTTACACAACCGAAATAACAGTGTGTATATCATAGTCCGTGACAAAGCACCCTATCATATGAAGTGGTCGGTAAGCCAAACCTGCTCTGAACAATTTCGTCACAGTTGGCCAAGGCCAAAAAAAGAAGGCTCCGGTTTCTGGTATGGAGCTTGCCCCAAAAGTGGTGCGGCGACGCGGCTTTTATTTTTTGGGCCGTTTTTTGGGGGTTCAAATATCGGCTGATTACTGCAAATGGTGCCCGACTACATTTAGTGCAAATATATGGGAGTTCAGAGAGTACACATAAAGCTTATACTCGATCGTAACCCCATCTAAAAACACGTTAGATTTGTGCAGCAGCAGGATTCCAGTCAAACCAGTGAGTTTGGCGGTTTTGAGACATCATCTTACATTGAAAAAAAAACTTTTCATTTTGCCGACGCGCATGGCTACGGCGAAGCGCGCGCATACCAGAAACCGGAGACTTTTTTTGGCCCAATCATCTATTACCCTTTTTGTAGACATCGTACGTGACATCGTCCTTATACTTTAAATAACAATTTTGAGTGGTCGGGCATAACCCCTTTTCTCCTAAACGGTATATAGTATGAACTTGTAACTTTCAGTATCTATCGACCCTCATCCGAAGTGTTGCATATTACTCTGACGTCATGATTACGTCATTAGGTGTCACTAGTAATTTTATACGAACAAGTGACCAATTACTTTCACCTATAACTCTTGAACTCAATAATCAATGATGTTTGTATTCTGTAATCAGATAGACCATTGATTGCTAAACATTTATTTGGCGTGCACGTAAACTCGCTTGACCTTTACTTCCGGGCCTACTGGAAGGTCAAAGTTAGGTGAATTCAAAATGAAGACATTAGCCTGAAATCAAAACAAAGCAAAATTTCTTCCGGACGATGATCACAAAAGCTTGTGTGATTTGTGCCATGCTACGACTTTACAAATTTAGTAATGTCATCATGACGTCATCAGGTGGGCAATTTGTCTACCCGACCACTCTGCGTTTGTAACAACAAACGCGAGTCTCTAGTTTTGTTATAAATTTGCTAGCTTGACGAATTATTTAGTATGACGAATAGTATTTATGCAGCGTTTGTGTAAAGTCATGTATTCAGCCATTAAAAAGGCAGTGAACTGACGAAGCCATAAAATCGTGGAATAAAGGCTAATGTCACATAGAGTCATGAGGGATGGTGCTGGAATTAATGTTTTTTTAGAACGCATTGCCGATTCACTGACTAATAAATTGATTGAATTAGTATACACACATCAACTATACTACGCCTTTCCATGGCAATATAAACTAAAAGATTCGCAGTAAGTGGTAGTTTGTGTCGACTGTCTTCTATGCCACCCGTAACCAAAATTCTAGACATATGCCTAAGTTCATCAGACTTCGAAAACACTGATGAGATCGCGTATATGGTCATGGAAATCTTCTAGCAGTCCAAGCCAGTTGCTTCACAGCTGACTTCCCACAATCTCCGGGCGAGCTCGTCATCCTGAGCAAGTGCTGACGGCGGTGCTACCTGGCAGTTGTCGAAGTAGCTTCCGGAAAAGTTGGCGACCGAGTCGTCTAATGCACAGTGGATGGTGGTCTGGGCACCGGCTTCCTCGTCTATCATCATCAACCTGCACATAACAGCAGTGGATTACAGTGAATTATCCGGGGGCCAAATTCCAATATACACGTACACCTGCACCGGGACTTAAGAAACTTTCGCCGCATATTACCTTTTAGGTTAAGGGGCGGAAGTGTACATAACATGCACATGAACAGTACCCGTCCCCTAGTGGTGTCCAGCAAGCCCCAAAGCCCCCCTCCTCCCGCTTTTGGAATTTCCAAGGCCTGGCAATTTTTTTTTTTTTTTTAATTTTAGTCATCCCCAACCCTCCCCCAGTCCCCGGCACAGATTTACAACACTGCCTTTCATGACGCCCTCGCCGACGGAGTCAGTTTAAAGCCAATTATACAATTGAACAGAACATTACGAAGCCTTTAATCACATGAAAGACAATGCATTGTCTTTTATATGATTAAAGGCTTCGTGATGTTCTGTTCAGTTGTACAATTGGCTTTAAACTGACTTCTTATATACATATAAATGTAATAATGAATAGCGTCAAGCCAGTTCAGTTAAAAAATGAGAGTAATAAAGCGACCAGTTTGTGACTTTTTGCCCCTCCCCTCCCCCTCATAAGCTCAGTCGATTGACGTTTCTGACAGGTTCGGGCTTTTTCATACCCAGATTAGGTTTACGTTAGCACCATTGGACAAATCTCATTTGTGAGTTTGGGAGATTCTGAAAAGATCCCGGGGAAACTCACCGTTTCGGACAGTGTTCGCGTCGTCAGATTTGTCACTTAGAGCTACAGTAAACATTATCTTATTGCTATCCTCTCCATGAATAACGTCAAATCTTATACCCAGATTAAATAATTAAAGAAATCACATCTTTTTTTACCACATGATAGGAGACATCACGTAGTACATTGCGGCTTTAAATCTGGACTCGACCAACATGTGGGTTTTCCAGATAGGAGTGTAGATGACGCCAGGATGCAGCGAGGTAGATATCACGCCGCTAGATGCCTCACGTCTCGCCAGTTCGCTGGCGAACAGAATGTTGGCCAGCTTGCTGACCGGATATGATTCCAGGTGAGGATACAGGAAACTAGCCACGTCTGGGTCAGCCCGGGTCATGTTTAGTACCGAAGGGGCGTTGCTGTGCAAGAGAGACGAGACGGTGACCACCCGGCTGGAGGCACTCTTCTTCAGCAGGTCCAGGAGGAGATTGGTCAGCAGGAAGTGGCCGAGGTGGTTGATGCCGAAGACGAAATCGAAGTTGTCTTTGGTTGCGATGACGCCATCTGTTTGCCATTTCGCAACCCCTGGAAGTACAGCAATAAGGTGAGCTGTATTATCGAGTCTATAATGAGTTAATCATGGGTCACTAACATGCATGCCAATCATAGGTCAACCCAAAAGTCAAATCGCAAGTCAGATCGTAAATAACAAAGGAATGCTTCTGTCACAGAATACCTTAATAACTTAATGCCGAGTTCCCTGAATGTATGTCATTAATTGTTAACTGTTGAATGGGATGGCGCCAGACTATTTATGCAGGTATAATGCCACCTTTTTTTACTGTCATTTCTTTTTAATCTGGCTTTAAACATTCGTTTAATTACAAATTTGAAATTATTCATTGAAGCAGACTTGAATTAATTAGTAATTAACTTGCTTCATTTATCTACACAAGGTCCAAAAATCCAGATTTTACCTCACTCTCAATTCAATATGGCTGACTCGTGAATAAGGCCCATAAACGTATCCTGTTGATAATGACCTAACTTACTGACAAACCGTCTGGAAAAAAGGACTAATTACCCGCGTTGTTTATGAGTATATCAAGCCTCTCTTCACTTTCTACGATCTTGCTGGAAAAATTCCGCACGGACTGCAAGTTTCCGAGATCGAGATGGCGCACCACAACCTCCGAGTTGCCCGTCCGCGTCCTGATGTCCTTGGCGGCGTCTTCGGCCTTCTGCAGATTGCGACAGGCGAGGATTACCCGGGCGCCTCGCCGGGCCAAGTCCAGGGCCGTCTCCTTACCGATGCCCGAGTTGCCACCTTCAAGAGGGAAATATTGTATGGGACGTATAAATACTTCTTTTCAAGCACGGACTATAAGATTAAAGTCAACATTTTGTGCAAAATGTCACAAGCCCTTTTCATTTTTATAAGGGGGGGGGGGTAAAATATTTTATTTACACAGCCTACCGTTCAAGGAGATAGCAAAGTGCTAATCAGTTTTCTCCAGGAAACATTACCACGCAAAAAATTAATGCCCTGGCTATTGCAGCCCCTTCTATTATCCCGGCTACCATGCCCTGAGACGTTTGCAAAAAGATTTCTGAAACGGATAGTTTTAAATAGTGTAGATTGCTATAGAGAGCAAAGATTATGGAATAATTTGCAATCAATATCATGGGTCAAGGTCCAGAATACAGCAGGTGTGCTGACTTTTGAAAACAAAAGCGTTTGCCATTCTCTAATGACAAATCCTCATTCTCAATCAATTTTTAAATTAGCATCTACAAACATCACAGGAAGCCGTTAGCGGTGAATCAAGCGGTGACTTGAGGTTTACCTCGAGTTTTAACAAGGTGTTAGGAGAAATCTGGGGTTCCACCTAGTTACCTCGTTTCATTTAACATTCTTTCCATAAACGGGCATAAAGATAAAGGGTCTTCAACCCTCGTCGGATCCCCTCCTTCATCTGCCAATAGGGACTGTGCCCAAACCCAACTTTGCAAAGGAGATTCACAGACTACATTTTACAGTGCCTTTGTTCAGAGCATACACCCTGGAAGCCATTGCTTCAACCTATCATAAATATGACGATGGGGATTCAACATACCTGTTACGATGACTGTCTTTCCTTTCAGCTCAACATCGGCAGTAAAGTACCTACGACTTGCGACAAATTGCCAGTAATAGATGCCGTATAACGCCACCAAAATGGGCACTATGTATCGAAAAAAACCAGAGAGAGATGCCATGCTGCAGATCAAACCACCTTCATAAATGGTGTATAGAACTCAAAGAAAGAACTACGAAGTGGTTGGTAAACCCAAACGTCTCTAAGGCCAAAAAAAAAATTCTCCGGTTTCTGGTATGCGCGCGCGTCGCCGTAGCCATGCGCGTCGGCAAAATGAAAAAGTTTTTTTTCTTCAATGAAAGATGATGTCTCAAAACCGCCAAACCCACTGGTTTGACTGGAATCCTGCTGCTGCACAATTTTAACGTGTTTTTAGATTGGGTTAAGCTTTATGTGGCCTCTCTGGACTCCCATATATTTGCACTAAGTTTAGTCGGGCACCATTTGCAGTCATCAGCCGACATTTGAAGCAAAAAAAATCAGGTAAAAAAAAAAAAAAAAGCCGCGTCGCCGCACCACTTTTTGGGCAAGCTCCACACCAGAAACCGGAGACTTTTTTGTTTTGGCCTTAACGTAATTATGTTACAGATTGTGTGAAGCATGGACAATCATCTGTGATCCTTTTTGTAAACATCATACGTGATATCGTCCTTATATTTAGACCATTACCTGCATTACGTAACAGTCTGACTGTAATAAAATAGACTGTTGTAATCTACACATCAAAAATCGGTCCATGCCAAAGGGGCCTTAAAATTTGAAGCCGGGCTTTTGGCGAAAATCAGGTCTGCAAAGTGTAATTGAATTATTCTAACAGCTGACTGTTGTTTTAATCGACTCATTTGCAACTTCAAATCATCATACTAAGCTATGAACAGCCTATCAGTAGTGCGTATGACTACGACCATGTTGCTATTAATAGCTCCATGTTAGTATGACCGAATCATGCAGATGCTGGTCAACCAAACGGAGGGGGTGGGGGAGATCGGTAAATTTGTAACAAGAAACTTTCCGGAGAGGGAAAGGGTTCAAAAGACTTGGTGACATTTTAAAAGATATAGCTGCAAGACTGCAGGCCAGTTCGCAGTTTGGGGTGGGTTCAGGTGCCGGACGGCAAGGCGGTTGGGAAGCCAGTCGAGCCTCAAGTCAGAAACTTGGGGTGGGAAACAGACGGCTATAGTGACGTATGAAAGGGCAAGAACTAAGAAATGACTGAGCAGAATATTCAATAATAAATATCGCGATAAAAAAAAAAATTATTAAAACGCGGCTGTTTATTCAACGAACACGATGGGCACAATAATACAAGAAGAAGTACAAAGATGTATTACAAACTCTTTAAACGGGTATTTGCCCAATTTTGGTTTTCCTTTACTGTGTTGGATATCAAAATTAAGTCACTTCTACCCTTTGCTTGAATTGAGTAACAACCCACTGCAGGGAAAACGACCTTCGTTTTGCTATTCGCATAATCTTCAGGAACAAGACCCGCAAGCACAGTACCATAAAGCTGCAAAGTAAACAAATACGGCTCAGCAAATTTAGGTGCCGAGCAAAACCATCACATGACTTCGTATGCTTTTGCATCTGAATGAGCAAGGCTCCTGACAGAAAATGCAGCACCATATTTGGCAAGAGTTAAATCTTGCGAACTTACTTAGACCATGTCAAAGCGTCCTACATCTCATCAGCCTTCAGGCACTAAAGGGGTCAAAGGTCGTGTATTGGGGGAGGAGAATGTGATAAAAAACGGAAAGTAAAAAATATTAAAATAAACCGAAAATGGCTGACTGGCAAGTACAACGAGACTATTATGTTGTGGATCCGTCCTAATACTGTTATGCAACGGTTCTAGGTAGTTCTGCTTCATTTTGAGTATGTTGAGTTGCAATAAAGATGTCACAGGTTACCACAAGTCAATCGGACTCAAGTCAAGTCGCAAGCTATTCAGATTTACTGTAACAAAGTCATCGTTCATGCACTGTTACATCATGACTCGATTATTGATTTCAACACCTGACTTGCGATCTCATGACTGACTTGTGACTGGCTGCACGGATCACAACTCCGATTGAGATCCAATGAGATGGCAGGTGGGAGCACGGGATTCTATCAGCTATCAGTTCTCAGTACTGTCTCTGTCCTGGCTAGTCCCAGTTGCTGCTTCGTTCCCCAAGACAACAGCCATCTGAAGCATGAACTCCCTGTTGTCCGAGACTCGCTTGGCTTGTAGCTCCTCCTGTCTCTGCCGCCTTTCCTCTTCCCTCATCTCCCGCTCCTCCTCCCATTTCATCCTTCGTGTCTCCATGTCCATCTCCCAGCGCATCCGGGCCCGTTCGAACTTGAGGTATCGCTGCAGGAGCTTGGTCTGCTCTGTCAGGTGGTGGGACTGGTGGTCGATGAAGCGCATGACAGCGTCTGTGATGGCCTGGGCTACAGTCAAATCGTCCCTGGGCGGAGGTGCGCCGCTCTTTGGACGGCCGCGGGATTTCTTCGAGTTGTGCTGCTGTTGGTTGTGCGAGGAGGCCACTCTCTTGCTTGGCTTGGCCGAGTTGGTGGCAGCGGTGGGATCGTAGGTGGGATCGTTGTTTTCTGACATCCCGGCTACAATAAAAACACACACAAAATAATTTTGATGAAACTTCTGCTATTTGACGAACATTTCAAAGGAATTTCCTTGCACGAAATGTCCTGCCATTTGTCAACGAAACCTAGATTCAGTCAGTTAAAATATCTCGTAAATCGAGGACAGTATACTTAATTTCTTAGCTTAAAAAGGACCGTACAATAAAAGGAAGATAAGCAAAATTTGACACAATATCGACGGCAATCATCATGAATGAATGACAAAATGACAAAACTCCGATTAAAAAGTACGTGTAAATAAAATTAAAATTAAAAAAAAACACGTGAGTAGATATTAAGGTTAATCACTTCGGAAGTTAATCACTTCGGAAGCTAGTTACCTTCAGAGGGCAAAAAAGCTCCAAATTAGTAAGGTAAAAAAAATAGTCAATTATACAATGTACAATGTGTGATAGGAAAAACAATTAGGAAATTGAAAAACAATTAGGAAAATGGGTTATTTTATCAACAATGATAATGTTTTGTTTTTAACACAACAAATACAAAGATACCAAATACACATTATAAGAATCTCAAAAATATCGAGTTGCAAGTGCGAGAATACACAACCCGCCCTGTTTTCTAACCGTTTGATTTGAATTTTTCACCTGAATAATTCATCTCCTGGCCTTGAGTCTGGTTCTGAGCGAAGAGGTCCCGTATGTCATTTTCTTCGGTTTCCTCGAGGTCCCCATCCTCCTCATCCTCGTTCTCTTCGTAGTCGCTCTCCGGCACCTCCGGCAGGGATGGGGCAGGTATTTGCTGCGGAGGAGCCGCCGGGGTCTGGTGCGCGGTGGAGGACGGCTGGAACGTCGGGTCCGAGGTTGTGGCTCTGGACGTGGTGGACGGGGCCGCCGATGAGGGCGCTGTGGACCTCGCGCTGGCTGGAGTTCGTTTTCCTGTGCGCCAAAAACAAATGTTGAAAACATAAATTTGTTAGCGAGGCACTAGTTTTTGAGAAATCGGTACAGGTTGAGTTTAAGATGCGTGAATGGGTGATTGTTTAAACGATAGATGGTTAAAAAACAAAAAAAGAAAGAAAAACCCACATAACTCGATTTTTTGACACCTTAAAGAAATCGGCCCTGTACTCTGTAGTAACTTCATGAAATGAAATCAAGCGAATCAACTGAAATCATTAGATATAAACACATGATGAATTGCTCGATTTTCCAAAAAGTCTGCATAATATTCCCTAGTGGCGAAAAAAAAACCTCGTGCATTTCATTTCAGATACCGTTGGTAAACCTGTAAAAGAAAAGTGATTAAAATGCGCTGGCCCGGCCTGGAACATTTTGAAACATCACAACCACAAGATCGACAATCAGCGCATGCATCAAAGCAGATATAAACCAATTGTATATCCTTGCCAGACCCTTTCAACCATGCATAAAATGCAAGCATTATTATGGATGACACCAAGTAGCGAGGATGAAAAGACCACTTCAACAATGAAGGAAGGAACTAACCAATCAACAAAACACAAATATTAAGCGGAAATTATACAAACAAGGCCGGTTGATACTACATTGTACTAAGAACACATGAAAAACACGTTATACGAAACAACCGACATTGTAAAGAATCATCATTGGCCGGGGAAACACAAACACCATCTTAAAGGGACCGTGTCGCTGACGTCGTCTCACCTAGAATGGTATGTATTTCATCCAGGTAAATCTGTATGTTTCCCACGTTGGGCCACTTGCCGCGTGCCCTCAGTCTAGCAGTCTTCCGGTACTGCTTCCGGAGATAGGTCAGCCTCTCCTTGCACTGCGCCGCCGTACGCGGCGGCTGGAACTCCCCGTGCCGCCGCCCGAGCAGCACGCTAATCCGCTCCCAGATCCAGTTATTGTGCACAGCGCTTTTGAGATGAACCTGCACCTCCGGATCGCCCCAGATGGCCAGCAAGGTCTTGGTCTCGGGATGTGTCCAGTTGCGGACCCGAGGCTTGGCCGGTCTTTCCTCGCTTAGGACGCTGAAATCCAGGAGGGAGGGCACAGCGCGGGTCGAACATTCCGGGGCCGGGCTCACACCGGCACCTTCCTCCTCCGAGTACGGATAATGGTCCGATTCGGCGCCGTCAAACTCGGCGAAGGAACGCTTGCGGTCCTCTCTTAAACTGTACCCCATCCGTCCTCCCATGTTACCAGTCTCATCCGGGATGGTCCGGTCACCATTCCCACCGCCACTTGCATGGACGCTGACTGGGAAAACTTGCTTAGTGTCCGACAAAAGAGACTCCTTTCCCGCGCGACTAGACGCCATTTTGACCGCGGTCAAAAATAACCACAGACGAAATAACCTAGGGTCGCCTGCGTGCGTGTGCAGTTATTCCCCCACCACACAAAAAAAGCTTGTATGAAAGCACACGCGGTCATAGTACACTGCACATACATGTACTGTGTGCAACGAGTACACTACACAGGTCACCCTATCGCGATTCGTGCATTACTAATGTACCGAGGTGTTAGTTTGACCTCGTACTGCGTGCCTAGGGATAACACGCAGTGTGTACGTGTGTGAATACACGACGGAGCGACCCGTGGCTCAGCCCAGCCCGCATTGAAACACGTGCTAAGAGCAGCCAGACTAGCTACCCTGGGGATTCACACGGAAGGAGATCCGGACAGGTTTTTCCCACTCGGGTGTGAAAAGCTCCCTAAAGGTGGGAAATTATATTGCTCCTGCACAAGATTCTATATAGCATTAATTTATGAACTTTAATAAACTGTACTCAAATTATCATATATTGCTGTCACATTTTTAATACGAAAAGGCACAAGCCAAACAGACCCCAAAAAAGCATATGCAGTTAAAGAAATTATCATCATGTTAATTAGTTTCAGTTCAAATTCATTTTTTTCTTAGAATAGTAGTCAAAAGAATGTCAAAAGTGTTATCCATACAATTTTATTATCAAGCAAACGTAGTTAAGAAACCCATGACAAACGATATGGCGCTACTCTCTTAGGGGCGCTGTTCAAACATGTATGTACATGTAAATACACATACATACATGTACACGTGTTTTATGCCCATTGTTGAATTACATCATGCTTCTTGGCCGAGCAATACCATATCGCTATATATTACGCGGTGGGCATAATATTGTGAAGATTTCTGTGTAAAAACTAGCAAAAGTCTATTTGCACTTTGATAAAAACTATTTGGAGGGTCATTGATATATTGTCCTCCGCCGAACACCACGTTCCCACTTGAATTGGGAAAAGGTGGATCAAGATCCTGCATTTTGGTGTGATCGTTATCTTACCGCAACGAAACCGCAAGACGCGTTCCCACTTATGCTTGATCCACCTTTTCGTACGGAAATGTCGGGTCCGAAAGGTCACTGAGTTCGGAATTACGCGCGCTCTGTGGGAGTGCCATTGTTGCATGGTTGCATGCTAGACCAAGATGGGTCAGTGTTCAAACAGCACTATCAGAATTCACCGACAAAAATTACGCGAATTCACCAACATAAATCACGGATCCGTAGAGGATCCGTGCGTGCATAAATTAACAGGTGAAATCAAACAGATCAGAGCCGCTCATTGTGTGACATCACGGCAGAAACCAATGCATCGATAAGGGATTCCCTGGTTCTGAAGCTTCTCATTGGTTAGAAAGGGTCACATGATGTACTACGACATCATTTCCAATTTTCTATAATCAATACTTCAGATTTGTCACCTCAGTACGTACCGCGTTATCGGCACTATTCTCATCGCATACTCGTAAGCTTTTCCATGATTCTGTGCCAAAGTGAAGTCTTTTGGTGAGTGCGGACTCAGAGTCATTTATGGATGGAAAAATAAGTAAAATTTCACTAATGAAAAAAGGTTTAGTAATGGACGAACACGCAACAAAAATAAGGCCTAGTGTAGTTTTAGGATACCACGTGCGCTTTTGCATGCGCGGTGCTAGCCCGTAGTTCAGCGGTTGTTTATTGTGCATGTTGTATACGCTGGAAATGTTCACATGAGCTACACGCCTGAAAACGTGTTTCTTCGTTCATGAGACCGCAACATTTTCGCGCCACTCGTGCACCGGGCGGATGTTAACAGGTCAAATTGCCGGATCAGATCCACCTTTTGCGTTCCCATCTGATCGTGATCCGGCAATTGCCGGATCTGATCCACCAATTGGGGGATCTGTATCCTGGTCCAGAGGTGGATCAGAAAAGGTGGATCTGATCCTGATCCACCTTATAACGGTTAGCGTTCCCACTACACACAATTGCCGGATCTGGTCCACCAATTGGGGGATCTGATCCGGCAATTTGGCAAAAGGTGGATCAGATCCCCCAATTGGTGGATCAAGTGGGAACGGGGTCGAAATGAATGGAGAGGGGGATATGCCTCCTCCCCCATGACCCACCGCCCATGACGAGACTATCTGACGCCTGCCCTCCTCCTCAACCAAAAAAAAAAGCCTCAACGAAAGCCATTAATTATCAAGGGCGCCCCCATATGAAAAAATACTTTAAAAACCGCGCCGAATATGGAGAGCCACAGATAGAAGCACACGAAGGGATCGACACAGCAGAACATGAAAGAGAAAGACAGGCTGTCTTTAGCGGAAGTCGGGTGATCGATCGATGAGATTAGACGCCTGGGGGATTTTTAAAAGCGTATCATTAGGGACATACAATCTTGTTACTTCAAACGAAGCGTGCCATGCCTATCTATCAAAAACCAAACAAAATCAGGCACCAATACTATCATTTTCCCCCAGTCGTCATTTACATGCATGAATGATACAATTGGCTATTAGTATGGAGAACTCTAATATTAATCTCCACGTGGCTTCATGAGGAGAAATGCAGCGAGGAAGGGTTGCACCTAGAGATTGGTAGGATTTGAACGCCCACAAGAACGGTTTGAAGAAAATAAAATAGATCGTTGCGAACACAGATTATGTGGCCTAAAGCCATAAAGTGAACTCTTCGTACATCCGTTTGTCTGTTCCTTGCTCTATGGTTAAATGCGCCAATCAGCCTGTCAGACCTATTATGCTCTAGATCACCGAGCTCAACGCTCAACGATACCACAGAATCTTCCCCGTCCATTTTCTTCCCATCTTCAACAAGCTTTACTTAGGTACCACCAATAACCCACCTTTATACGGTGCTCGCTAAATGTCAAGTTTTCGACTCAGGGTGTACTGGTATACATGTACATCTTTTTCAACGACCGTGCATAAGAAGTGGAAAAAGCGCGCCAAGTCTCATTCTGTGATCATTGGGGTATTGTACAAACATTGACTGCTTCGAGTGGTATATAGTAAAACTAGCCTCCGAGGTGATCCATTGAGCATTCCATTCTTTTTCCCGAGGCGAAGGTGAGGGAAAATAAAAGAAGAATGCTCCATGGATCACCGAGGGAAGCTAGTTTTACCCCCCCCCCCAAGAGGTTGTCAATTTTTTTATTATTTTTTTTATGTATTTTTTTGTAGTCCTACGATTTGACCTTGGAGATATGTATGTGGCCTATTTTTGAGTAGTTTAATTATTGTGTAAGTGGCGCCACCAACGTCAAAATAGTCCGCCCCCCCCCCAAAAAAAATCCCAATTTTTTTTCTCCGGCCAAAAAGTTTGGGCATTGGTTTTTTTTTTAAATTGTAACTTCAAAAAAATTTGAATTTTTTTGTGAGCCCCCTCCCCCAAGCCAAATCCTGGGTGCGCTCCTGGATGTCATCTCAACTTAGCCCTGCGTACTGCACACGGTGTAGCATTGCACCAATGGAACCGGAAGTTAACGCAACTGGAGTGTTTCAGCCAATGAGCGCTTGTAACAAGTGGTGCGTGCGCGTGTATGACGAAGTCACTTACGAACCGGATAGGCCTAGTACTTTGGTTGCTATGCATATAATACTTTGGTTGCTATGCGTGTAGTCTTTTTTTGGCCGTGCACAGCAAGATAGCAAAATAGCGAATATCATGTGCCTCGCTATTGGCCAATCAAGATACATGGGTGAGGTGTTATAATAATATTTATGGGGTACATTTGGTTATATTATAAAGCATATAGTCTAATTGGGCTTACACGTTTCTGATGTTTTAAGCATTTAGTATTTACATGTACATGTGTATAAGGTATCAAATGCAATCCGAAATTACGATATGATCTGCAAATGCAAAGCGAAGATCCGAGAAAGGGATGACTTCGCCCCCGGCTGGAGAAGCGGGAAAAGGGCTTTCTAGGGTTTTAATCCAAAAAGCACGCGTACGTCATAACCCGTTTTGCCGACTGACCATACTACGACCAAATGGACACCGTTCCATCACAATCTGACCTGGCTAGTTCGTGAGTTGCGTTCCCTTGGTGAATCTGACAGATTATATAAATGCGGTCACTTTGATCTTAATCCCGTTAATAAAAAAATAATAACTTACGCTGACCTCGAGGTACATGCTCTAAAAATAAAACCCATCTATACCGTCACAAAAAGTGAATATCAGTTTATGACATGACCCCAGGTGCGAAGTTTAGGAAATGGGCTGAATTTGAAATGGAAGAAAAAAATCCAGGTTGTAATCTCGGGAAGCAAGGGATGACAAGACGAAAGTACAATTATCCAATAAACCTAATGGAAATGGCTTGTGTTGGAGTCTGACCGCTGGTTTTTTTGTGTGTGTCTAGCCCACGGTGCAATTTCCAAAGACGAAAACCACACAAGGTAAAAATTCGAAGACTCGGTTTAACTTCGGCAGGATGAAGTCTGACCACGTACACCTGAAGAACAGGTTGTCCCGGTCACTGACATTTCGATGCACTTACGCACTTTATGAATTCTGTCGAGTTATTTGATTTTTTTTAATATTGGCATGAGTTCTGTCTGGCAAGAGTTGTGTAAGTTGACAGAGGATGGAAAGTTATTGATTTATTTGATCTATTTGATGTATTTTATTAAATTGGATTTTTGTTATGATTGGGCCGTCTGTGGGGCATGTTGGCTGCTGTGCTGTTGGATATGCCGTTTTTAACACATAGCACCAAGGCGAAGCTCGAGGGTGCTATGCGCCCTGAGGGTGTTACAAACTATCCCATATCACAGTAGTCAACAATTGTTTTGTTATATCGTGCCAATAAATCAAAAAGATAATAGTTGTAACTGACTTTGCAAGAAATAACTTGAATCACTGCGGTGTTACCTTTGATAAACTGCCGAACATAAGCTCCGCCAGTTCTCAGCCGTGAACGCAGCTGGCAAGCCCTACACGCACGCGCAATTTATGTGCAGCGCAGTGTATACGAGGTTTATTTACATTAGGCGACGCAGTGTATGAAGTTGACGGTTACGTGGCCGTTTTAGAACAATTAAATTACAGTATCCAAGCACAATATATAGCAAAATACATTATTAATGACCCTCGCCTTTGGCTCGGGTTATTATAATAGGCGTCCATTCCTCCAGCCTGTCTTTAAACGGACTTGTTTAAAACCGGCCAAGACCGTTT